TCCCTCTTCTTTCTTTCCACAAAAAGTTGAAAACTCAAAATTTTCCTCCTTATTTCTCTTTCATAATAAAAAAAACCAAACTTTCCCACTTATTTCTCTTCCCACAAATCAAAACAACCAAAATTTCCACTTGTTTCTTTTCTAAAACATTCAAAAAACCAAATTTCTCTCTTCTTTCTCTTCCCAACAAGTTGAATACACCAAAATTTTCCACCAAATACATTACTTTACTTTATTTATATTTAATTGATAATTTTATTGAATAGTTAAATTAACCAAAAATTTAATTTATATATTATATTAATATTGTCCATGATCTCAATTATTAATTCTTCATTATTAATAATGACATTATGTTGATTTTATATTTATTTTTTTAATTTTGTTAAAGAACTTAGTGTTCAAGTGACCTTCATGTTTCAATTTTTGTAATTTTCTTAAAATACATAATATTAAGTGAGTTTCATATTTTTTAAATTCCTTATACGAAATGAAAAAATAGAATTTAAAAATATATTTACTTAAATTTAGAGTGAAAAACTTTATTTTGAAAAACTATGTATTGTATATTATAATAATTATTCAAGTGGATTAGGTGAAGTTCGGGTTGAGTCGGTCGGGTTATGGGTTAGTCAGGTTCGGGTCAATCGGGTTCGGGTTAATCGGGTTACGGGTTAGTCAGATTGTGGGTCAATTGGGTTTGGGTTACTTGGGTTGCGGGTCAATCGGGTTGCGGGTCGGGCAGGCTATGTGTTGTTGACTTTTAGTCAATTCGGGTTGCGACGGGTTACAGGTTGGGTTGATCAGGCGGGTTAATCGGGTCAGGCTATGTTTTGACACCTATAATTGTAACTAAGGATCCTCATATAATCCATGAAGGGAATAGGTTGCCCGCACCATCAGATAATTTATATTTTGGTCAAGACCCCTTCTTATTACTCACCTATTGTAAAGTGGCAGAAGCAGGAGACTTAGCTTTGCCTTTCGAGCCATTCCCTTTCCCCGTATGAGGCTTCCCCATTAAGTTTGTTTGAGATTCTGCCATCAACTTCACTGGTTGGCCGGATATAATCGGGTTTTCTTTGGCTATGTCTTCTGTTGGGATTAGTGTTTTCTCGCTTTGTTCCACAACCATCCCCTCACTAGTGGAACGAGTATCTTGGTGGTTGTTGTTTGGCTTCGGTAGAGCAGTAATCTGAGTTGAGTGTCCCTGTCCACCATCTAGGTTCACCAACTCAAGCCGCTCCTAGTTCCTTTCCCTGGTAATATCCGTAGAATGCATCATTTGTGCGGGTTCCTCCTCGTTCAGCACAGTAAAGCGCGATCCATAATCTGTTACCCTAGTTTCAGTGGTAGTAGGTGCCCTTTGCTACTCCTCAGTGTGTCGTTGCTCCGCCTGTTTCTTACTCGTATTTTTACCTTGAGGTTTCATCGTCATCCACTCTCCATAACAGGGTCGTTGTACGACTTCTTCCTTATCCGTAGCTTTTTGGGTACCTCTGGCTCAGCAATTTTAATGAGCCTAGGGCATGCCGCTTTCATGTGACCATACGTTCCACATTCAGAGCAAATCCGATGCAATCCTTCATGCGCTCCACTTTTAATAATTTAGCTTCATAGACTTAAGGTTCATTCTTCTTTATTCTTTTATTTTAATTTACTAAGGACAATTTTGTCATTTTGATTTGTATTGACGTCATATTAGCAGAAAAAGTAACGACGGGACTGGTTGAGGAAAAATTGAAAACATAAGGGACCTCAATATGAAAAAAAAATTGTTGAGAGACTTGAATAGGAAAAAGTGATAGTTCAGGGACTACATTGTGGATTAACTTCACTTCTATATGAAAAAAACATAATGGTAATATGAGTAGAGAATTGATGTTGTGCTTATAGTTGGTCTCCATTCGATTTCACTTCACTTCTCGCTGCTCAATACTGCTAATTTTTTTTCTCTGTTTTCCCCTCTTCGTCTGCAACCAACCCCAGCGTTTCATATGTCCAATGCATCTAAATTGAGAATGTGATGGTGGGTGGGACAATAACAACAATAACAATAGAAAATGCAAATGCAAATGTAAATGCAAATGGAAAGGAAGGGATAAGAGTTCAGGAAGGAGATAAATAGCTAATGTGGCTCGCCGTTGAGAAGGGAGAGAAGAGCACTCGCAGAAGCAAGATGATAGACAGGGTTGGGGTTGGGTCGTGGGCTTGATTGGGGTGGCTTCAGTTTTGGTTAAGTGTGTGTTAATAGAAGGCTAGAAGCCCAGGGTTTTTTTAATTAAAATTGTGATGATGACGTGGCAATTTGGAATTGAAAATGAATGCACACAGCACACTAACATACCGTTTGGTATAAATGAATTCCATAAGTTTTTAGGAACATTTTGAAATGAAATCTTTTTGTGTTTGGTATTTAAAAGAATTCTTTTTCAATTCTAAATTTTGAATTCTACGGAATTGAACTAGTTATGGCAATTCCGAGGAATTGAGATGGAATTTTCAAATGAATTTCACAAGTATTTACCAATTATGATAAAAGGACATAATCATTCTCATTTATTAACAAAATTACTTTTACATATATATTATTTGGCGCCAATTCATGTAGTATGAGGAACGTCGACAAGAATTTGATTGTAACGCTTAATAGCAAATACCAAACACAGGAATTCATTTGACAATGAATTCTACACAGGAATTCATTTTAAAACGAAATGTAACGAAATGACCAATTCGTTAGTTAATGAAAACGTGAGTGATGGATTCATCAACAATATTCAAATATAAGTGACCGAACTGACATTTTGTTCTATTGATCGTACACAAGTTCATGCATACCAAAGAGATAGATGAGATTGTACTTCAACCGCTAATATGTTGCTCTATTCCCTTATGATATGTATGAGTCGTACATATAATTTTGTTCTGTTTTTATAATTCTCCACAATTATAAAATATAAGGTCTGATCAATTTTTTCTAACTACTCATAATTTAAATCCTTAGCAGAAATACTCAAGTAAATCCAAAAAACCCCAAAATACATCCAAAATTGCAAAACATAATAAAACCGACATAATTGTCCAAATAGAAAAATAAGACAAAATCATGTTTCTAACAAAAACTAAATTATCCTTTCAACTATTGTTACCAAGACAGAAAGACATGACCTAACCATTGCTTTCCATTGTAGCTGCGTTGTTCTTATTTATTACCGGCTACGCTAAGTCAGTTATCACATCCATTCTGATTCTACTCCTTACTTCTCCATCATGAATTCGTTCCTTGCTCCAATTGCTTAAACTTACACTTTTTGCTTGTTTTTGATAACTCCGCCCTGACAACTCCATGGTGAATTGATCTCGGGTTACCGTCTTAGGCAACAGTTCTTACTACTTATCGGGGTTGGTTGCCAATGCAGCTTTCTAGTGATGCTAGGGCTGCTACTTTTGGGCGTCTAGCACGACTGGTTGAAGCCATCTAGTGGCAATGACTACGATGAGGGGTTGTTGACTTGTTGTGAGCATTTCCAGCTCTTCCACATCGTGATCAACGACTGGTTGAAGCACATCGTGATGCTAGTGCTTGTTGGAGTTAGTCTGGATTTTTGGGTCGTTTACAAGAATCAAGCTCGCGGCGGTGCTAGTTTTCGGACCGTGCATTGGTGTATGCAGGTGCTAGTGCTAGTGATGAATGAAGGTTTAGCAAATGATGCAAAGTTAATGTCCTAACAAAGTGCTATGGGTGCTCTTTGTGTGAAGCAATTGACTTGCCCAAAACAAGCAAAAACATCTTCTTCCGAGCCAACTAACAACCAACAAGAACTAGGATTGGGTTTAGCGAGCGGCGGAAAACCTAAAGTTTTCCGAGAAGGATTAGGGTAACTGTGCGGCGTCTTATTGACAAGCTATATCACTCAGGCCCCTTCTGAGCTATAGTTTTAGAGATCTACTGAAGAGCTTCAATACAGTTCTCTTGACAATCATAGAGTTTGCTCGACAAAGAGGGTGGGGGAAAGACGTGCTCCTCACGGCTCCTGTTTGGCGGCCTGACAAGGTAAACCAAAAATCGAATGGCGACTTCTTTTGATAGTGATGAAATCCCAATGGTGGAGGAATCAACGAAGGATAATCTCGATCCCACTGGCATGATTGAAGAGCAGCTAACAAAGATCACTTTGGATGAAGAAGAGGAGGAACCCCTGGAAGTTGAAGATGCGGATGTTAACGTGATACGTATGGAAGCGGTGAGGCACCTATGGCTGATTGGTCGCCTGGTTTCAGAAAAGAAACCAAATATAAAATCAATGAAGATTGCCCTGTCAAAAGCGTGGGGTCTGAAGAAGACTTACCAGATAACATATTTATAGAATAATCTATTTGCTTTTCAGTTTCTGGATTTTGATGACCGAAACAAGGTCTGCAACGGAGGGCCGTGGCACTATGAGAGCAACATTATGATTTTCAAGGCTAGCTGGTTGATTAAAAAACCAACGCCTGAGGACCTGCATGAGATTGACATCTGGATACAGATTAAAGGCTTTCCGACAGAACTGAGGACCCAATCTATGGCGGGGAAACTAGCAAAACGTTTTGGGGAGCTAGTGTATTTTAAGGATAGTGCAGATAAAATATGGGAGGACTACATGAGATTAAGGGTGCATCTGTCTATAAATAACCCTCTCAAGAAGAAGGTGAAGGTGAACATTGGAGGTAGACTAGTGGACTATCTAGTAAAGTATGAGAAATTACCACTCTTCTACCACTCTTGTAGGCGGATTGGGCACGTGAAGATCAAGTGCCCTCAACCGACACAGTTAGCAGTAGACCCTTTTGGATTAGATCTCAGGGAAGCCCCACCAGCTCCGCGTAACTGGCTTCCTTCAGGGGCACGGAAGGCGGATGGGGATATCTGGAGGCAATTGAGACAAAAATTCGAAGTTGAGAGCACTGGTTCAAACCAGCAGGGAAGTCAAATACAAAGTGTGGGAGCTGCAAGTATGGAGACTGAACCTACTGCACAAGCAACTCAACAGAGAGGTTCTAAAGACAACATGGGTCAGCTGGGTAAGGAGCATACCTTCAAGGGGGTTCCCCAACAGGAGAAAGAAGATCCGGTCCAGCACAGGACTACAGATCCAGTGGATGCAATGCCACCAAAGGAACACCTAGTGGAAGCACAAAAAACACCAAAGTCAGGGATACAGGGACACGGAGCAAATGTGGGAGCAGTAGCGAGATTAATCATGGAAAAGCAAGATGAAACTGATGTAAGGAAATCAAGAGTTAAAAGTTGGAGGAGACAGGGGCAAAAAAAACACAGGAATGGGGAGAGCTCTCAAGTCACTCCTCAGAAGCGGATTCTGGAAGAACATAATGAAGATCTTCCTCAAAAGGAAGAGGAACAAATGACGCAGAAGAAGGCTAGAATCCTAGTTTTCCCTAATGAAACAGCAATGATGATTGATGGTAAACAAACACAAATGGATGGCGATGTGGCGGACTCTGCTTTGGAGCAGGACCGCCGAGCTCAATGAGTCTATTGAGCTACAACTGTCGAGGGCTCGGGAATACCCCGGCAGTTGAGAAGCTAAAGAAGCTATTGCGTCAAACCAACCCCGAGGTAGTGTTTCTAATGGAGACAAGGTTGTATGAGGAAGAATGGAAGAGGAAGATCAAAGAGTTTGGCTACTATAGTGGTAGGGGTGTTGCAGCTGGGGAGAACAGAGCAGGTGGTGTGCTGATGATGTGGAGAGAAGAAGTAGAAATAGAAGTGAAATACTGTGATCTGCATTTTATTGATGTACAAGTCAGAATGGCCAACTGTCCAGAGGCCTGGAGGCTAACAAGTATTTATGGCTGGCCACAATCACAGAACAAACATAAAACATGTGAGCTGATCTATCAATTATGTAGCCAAGTGGAGATGCCTTGGTTGGTGATAGGAGACTTTAACCTAATGGTTGACCAACTAGAGAAAAACGGCAAGCATGATCCAGATGAAAGAGAGCTGGAAATGTTTAGGGAATGCCTTGAGAATTGAAAGCTCGAAGATTGTGACTATTATGGCAGAACGTTCACTTGGGAAAATAACAAGGAAGAGGACTACACAGAGGAACGTCTGGACAGGGCAGTAGGGAATGCAGCTTGGCTGCATTTATATCCAAATATGAGGGTATACCACTTAGAGTGATGTGGTTCTGATCATCTACCCATACAACTAAAACTGAATCTTGACGATGAAAAGATCACATGGGGGTGGAGTTTTCGCTATGAACCCTATTAGGAGTGGCATGAGGACTGTGGCAGAGTGATAGAGGAAGGATGGATGGGAGCAGGACAAGGAAACCTTATGGATCGGATTCAGAATGTAGAAGCCAAGCTTCGTTCCTGGACAACGACAACTTTTGGTTCGCTCAAAGAATGAAGGAAGAAAGCGACGAAGGCCTTACGAATTTTAGAGGAAAAGAAGAGAACAAAAGTTTTCTTGCTGCAAAGAAAAGTCATTAAACAGGAGCTCCATGAGATTCTACTGCTGCAAGAGATAAAGTGGAAGCAGAGGTCTCGAGCAGACTGGTTGAAGGAGGGGCACCAGAACACGGGGTATTTCCACCGTAAAGCTTCAGAGAGAAGAAGAAAGAATACTATAAAGAGGCTAAAGGATGAGCGAGGAAAAATTTACAAAGGACAACAGGGGGTCACCACCTGCCTCCTGGATTACATGAAAAGGTTGTTCAAAGAGGGAAATGGCCCTGATGTAAGTAGAGTTATGCAGGCATTCCAAACAAAAGTTACAGAGAAAATGAATCAGGAGTTACTTAAGCCATTCTCAGATATGGAAATTTGGTATGCCCTGAAACGCATGGGGCCAAATAAGGCACCTGGGGCCGATGGAATGCCAGCACGTTTCTTCCAGAAACACTGGAATGTGGTGGGACAGACAGTTAAGGAAGAGTTGAGGAGCTATCTGGAACAGGGGGAATTCCCATAGCAGCTCATCCATACTATTATTGCCTTGATTCCAAAGACAAAGAAGCCAGAAGCCCCTTTGGAGTTCAAACCAATCAGTCTGTGCAAGGTTCTATATAAAATTATGTCCAAAGTTCTGGCGAATAGACTTAAAAGAGTACTTGATAAGATTATTGGAGAACAACAAAGTGCGTTTGTGCCAGGGCGTTTCATAACAGATAATGTTCTAGTTGGATTTGAATGCTTCCATGCCATGAAGCAAAAGAAGAAGGCAAAGACAGGGGTAATGGCGGCCAAGTTAGATATATCTAAAGCGTATGATAGAGTGGAATGGGGCTTCCTGGAGGCCATGATGAGAAAGTTGGGATTTGCAAACAGATGGATCAAGATCATAATGCACTACATAACTACGGTAACTTATTATATACTGGTAAATGGCCACCAGTCTGATTCGTTTACACCAGAAAGAGGGTTGAGACAGGGTGACCCAATATCCCCATACTTATTTCTGCTATGTGTGGAGGGTCTTTCTGCACTAACCTTACAGGCAGTTGAAGAAGGAAAACTTCATGGTATAAAGGTCTTAGTTCGTGGACCTAGGATCTCTCACCTACTCTTTGCTAATGACAACATATTCTTTTTGAGAGCTACACCGCAGGAATGTCAACAATTAAGAGAAATCCTACGGGTGTATGAGGCTGAATCACGACAGATGGTTAATATGCAGAAATCAGAGTTGATTTTCAGCCCTAGTGTGGGTTTGAATAAACGAATAGAGTTGGCTGGCATTTTACAGATGATAACTGTGGACAATTACACAAAATATCTAGGCCTCCCCACAGTGATCGGGCGAGAGAAAAGGGCAGTCTTTGATGTCCTGATTAATGAAGTCAGAAAGAAGATTAAACACTGGAAGGGGCTGACTCTGTCTATAGAAGCTAAGGAGATATTGATCAAGGTTGTGGCACAATCCCAAGCTACATATATGATGTTGGTGTTTCTGATCCCTAGTGGAGTGTTGAATAAGATTAGGAAGGCAATCTCGAGTTTTTGGTGGGGACAGCAGAAGGAGGAGCGCAAAATACCATGGAAGGCGTGGAAGGAGGTGTGCAAGCCGAAAGAAGAGGGGGGAATGGGTTTCTGTGACTTACACACTTTCAATATAGCTATACTGGGGAAACAAATCTGGAATCTCCTTATCAATCCAGATTCTCTTGTAGCGCGAGTCTTGAAAGCTAAGTACTACCCTAATACTGACGTCCTACAGGCAAAGGTAGGGAATAGTCCAAGCTATACCTGGAGAAGTATACTTGTTGCATAGGAGCTAGTCAAGAGTGGTCTAAGGTGGAGGATTGGGAGTGGAGCTAGTGTGAAAATATGGGGTGAGAAGTGGATACCAGAGGCGGAAGAGGATGGATTCAAGGTGACAACACCTGAGGTGGATATGGATGAAATTAAGGTGGTGGCTGACCTTATAGACCACGATGATCGAACAAGGAAACACAATCTACTGCAACATTACTTCAACCCTACTGATCGAGCGCGCATTACAGGAATTCCAATTCCTAGACAAACAATGGAGGATGATCGAGTTTGGAGCTATGAAAGAACAGGTAACTACTCAGTAAAAACAGCCTATAAGCTTGCAAAGATACAGCGAAGAAGCCTCTCGTCAAATATGCAAGAACATGACAGTGGAGGAGAAGAAGAGGAGGATCCAGAGGTGGAAGTCTATGACCCCATGAATTGGAAAAGACTCTGGCAGCTTAAGATACCGGCAAAAGTCAAGATTTTTACCTGGCGATTGATTCACGATATTCTCCCAACAGGAAAGAACATTGAAAAGAGGAAGGAGGAAGCGGCAATAGAGTGCCCATTTTGCCATTTGGAAGAAACGCAAAACCATATCTTCCGTGAATGTCAGTGGGCGATTAGGGTTTGGAGGCAATTGGAATTTAGACATTTTTCGAGTTGGAGCCAGAGGTGTCATCGTGCGGCTGGATGTGCGAGGTTATGGAATGAGTTGACGACGAAATGCTGGAGCAATTTGTGGTGGTACTATGGATGATGTGGAATGAGAGGAACAATCAATTGTTCAACCGGAAGAAGGCACAAGAATGGGAAATTGTCGGGAAGGCCCTAGCCTACTGGGAGGAGTACGCATCATACAACAGGCATGAGGAACGTATGAGAGTGGCAGAGGCGATTACCTGGAAGCGACCGCCGATTGGGTGGGTGAACGTGAACGTGGATGCGGCAGTGATAGCAGGTCAGGGCACGGGATTTGGAATGGTCCTGCGAGATGAGAAGGGAGGATTCCTTCGGGCAGCAGTGCGGCGGGAGCGACGATGTTGGCCACCAGAAATTGCGGAAATGAAAGTTGTGGAGTTTGGGCTGAAGCAGCTGGAAATGAGTGTGGTTTTCGTCGGGCGGTGGTGGAAACGGACTGCCAGCAGGTGGAGATCGCGCTTCAGAAGACGGAGTGCTCGAGGCTAGAGACGGGTCTGGTGATCAGGGAAGTGCAGGGCGAGGCCCAAAGAATTGGGTTGATTAATTGGAACTTTGTCAAATGGGCGGGTAATGAACCGACCCATATTATGGCCCGTTCTCTTTGTAACTGGGAGACCCAAGAAGTTTGGGACTCTAGACCTCCTATTTTCCTCCTAGACATTTTGGCTAAAGAGATGGCAAGCTATTAATAAAATTCCAGGATCTGATTATAAGAAAAACAACCAACAAGAACTCGGTTTATGCATCTTTATGCAGAATAAGGACTTTTCGGTTATATAACTCTACTGCTGATATGTTCTCGGTCCTAACAAACGAGGATCTTCTTTGTGGAGAATATCAACTGCTTTGTGATGTCTTCCTATGGTGTTCTTATTGTAGGGAAATTAAAGTGTTGACCGGTTTCAGCCACATCATATCCCCCATTCATATAGTCGATCTTTGGTAAAGACTTCCTTACTCCTTAGTACTCTACCACCCTGTTGTACCCTAATCACGATCTCGATGGTCGACTTACACATCTTTTGACAGGTATCCATACCCGTACCAGAGCTCGGTTATATAACCATGAGCGACGATGGGATTGAGACCCATAGCAAAACCAATCAAAACTAACCTTATTAGTATAATTAATTGGCAAGCATACTTAAGGAGTCTGGGCATATACGGCAGGGTTCACTATTTACTATAAAGGCGGCGAAAGGCCTGCTACATTGGCAAGCAGCCAGTAACGAAATCCTGATAGAGGTTGACCCTCTTAAATGAAAACAGTTACTCCATTCTTAATAGTGGAGTGTAGTGGCGGAGCCACTCATTAGGTTGGGGTGCTTGCACCCTCTTGGCTTGGAGGAGCAGCGAAAATTTACCAAAGGAAAAGTAAGTTTGGAGAACTACCTTTGACCGACTAATACTAAAAAATCTTTCTTACAATTTTACTTGATGAGTTTCTAATAAATCTTACGATTCTTTATATAAAATAAGTAGTTCTAAAATTAAACCTACAACTATTATTGTTCTCATAAGAAGTTCCCAAAAATTTATTTTTTCTCTGTCGATACTAGTACGATTCATACCAATTACCCCAAATCTTATTATATTTCTTGGTCATAAGTTGAATTCACGTATTATTTTATCTACCATTCGATGGCATGTTTAAGAACTTGCAAAGGGTTGACGAGTTAGAAACAAAGTGAAAACAAATAAGCACAAACCGTATCTATCTATTTATTTAGTTCTTAAGTTGACAATTGTCTTATGTCGCAAATATAAGTGTGGGAAGATAATTTTCACCCATGAATATACAAAAATTTATATTCAAAATCGTATAAACGATGAGTTGGTGACATATATTGAACAATAGTTGCGTGCTAGTTTGCACAAGGAATGTATTCTACAATGTTTTCAGAATATGAAATCTCTTCGTTGTTCGTTATAAGTGGTGTGAGTCAAACTACTATTATGTAATGGTAAAAATATTGAGTATTCTGCTGTCGATTTTTTATTTCGTTTAATGTTGACTTTTCTATTATATATAATTGATTTTTTCTGATAAGAATAAACACCCCTTGATCAATTTTCTCGCTCCGCCACTAATGGAGTGGTAACTAGTCAAATATAACAAGTAAGAAGCAAAAAATACACGCTCCTACAGTACATTTATCAAAAGGAAAAGCTAGGGGTGGGCAACGGGACGGGACGGGATACCCGTCCCATTTTAAACGGGTACCCAGTCCCATTTGGAGGCCAAAGTACATCCCATATCCCAAACTCATATGGGAAACGGGTACCCATTACCCGTACGGGACGGATAACGGGTACCCATACTACCCATAAATACCCAAAGTTTAAACTACTCAAATTTTAACAAAAGTTTAAACTTAACTTGTACTTGCTTAACAATCACAAGACACAAATCATGAACAATCACAACGCATAGAAATAAATCATTCTAAGCACCAAATTATCAAATAAGAAGTTTCATTCAACACAAATCATGAACAATCACAACGATGTGCCTGCGAAAATTAGGGTCACCAAACTTCTCCATCCAGATAAAGTCATCATACATTGAGTGGTATACAGGGTAACCTGCATGCATTCAGCTATTGTCAGCACTCGGCAGGGTAGAAAGAAAAATGTAACTGATAATTTCAATGTTAAGGAATCATACACCGCTGAGGTTCCTTTAGCGATTGATGACTACTTTGAACTATGAAAATAATCTATGGTACTTCTTGGACAGGGATGAGTTTAGGTTGCATGTCACTGCAGAGTGCAGACTACAAGTATTATGTTCACATAGCGTTCTTTGTTTCTTTACTAAGAAAAGTTTCATCTTTGTGGCGAAGTGGACATTCCCTTTCTATGCATTAGAGTTCGCAAATGGGTAAAACGGGTACCCACATTACCCAAACGGGTATTTGCGGGTAACCCGCGGGTACCCATATTAGGAATGTACAATCCCAAGTCCCATCCGTTTATAATATTATGGGTAATATGAATACCCGTAACCCTTAAAAAACGGGACGGGTACGGGTATACCCAAATACCCGTTTCCCGTTGCCCACCCTTAGGAAAAGCCCGCCAAGCAAGCAGTATAGAGACGAAGTCATTCAAGGCATCGAGATTATATTTGAAAAGAAAAATTGCATTAAGATAGCAAAAGGATGTTTATGCTCCATAAAGTAAGTTTGCTCAAGCTATTGGTTCACATTAGAAACCCCAGTAGGATTGAACTTGTAATAAAACGGATAATAAGGAAACCACTATATAAGAAACTAGGGGTGGCAGTCAGTCGGTTTCGGTTTAATCAAAAATCAAAAACTCGATTATCAGTTAAATCGAGACACCCAACAAGGTTGTCGACCACCAACTGTGAGAGAGCCATGGCTAACCGACCACCGATTGATCGGTTTTCGATTTTAGCTCGGTTAACCACATACCCGGAAAAATACCCCTTCCCTCTAAAACGTGAGCGTGTAGTGAATTTCAAAAAAAAAAAACAAGACATATCCTCCACCACACAATCCTTATCTTCTTCCTTCTGTCTCCTACACAATCTTATCTCCTTCTACTTTTTCAAACCCACCAGCCACCACACAAACCTAAATACCTTATCTCCTTCCCTTTCCTTCCTTCCTCCAATTCACAGACTGATCGAGATGAGATCTATTTTCAGCCCTCGTGTCTCGACCTTGGCATGGAGAAGGCGACCGACCGGATCACCTGGAGACGGCGACCTGTGAAGGAGCGACAGAGGCTGGACTCAGCGAGTCGGCGACGACCTGATGCGGGGAAGAAGACGCGAGGGACGGCCACCGGGGGTCGTCGGGTCGCCGGAGCCGCGGAGGGTAAAGTCATCGGTCGTCGAGGAAAGCAGCTTCGTGCGGGATAGCCGGGTCGTGGTCGCGAGGTCTGGGTCGGCGAGGAGGGGGGCTTGGACGGCGGGGGAACTTGGAACAGGAGAAAGGTGGAGGCATATATTGGGTATGGAGGATGGAGGCTGATAGGGTTGGTGACTGGCCAGAACTCGATGAAGGAGGAAACGAGGTAGTTTTGGTGGAGGCAGATACTGGGTTGGTGGAACGACGGTCAGTTGCTTCGGTTAGCCGGTTAACCGGCTTCGGTTATTCGGCTAGCCAAAGCAACCATTTTCTCTACCGAGCACCCTGACAATCGGTTTTATGTTAGCCGCTAACCGACGGTTATCAGTTAAATCAGCCGGTTAGCCGCTAAACGAAAACCGATCTGCCACCCCTATAAGACCATCCACAATGTGGGTGGGGGGAAAAGACGAAAAAGTGGGAAAATTGGATGATTTGGTCATAGTGTGGTGGTGGGAAAAGTGGGTAATCAGTTTAGTATTTTTTTGTTAAAATCAATCTATAGTTGATTTTGTCACTTTATTTTCATATAATGATCATCATTATTACGTACTTAGTGATAATTAATTAATACGAACATTTTGATATAATTTTTTTTAATTTGGACTTATTTTTTCATAACTAATTAAGTATGACATAATCAATGACGAAATCACAATAATACGAGGGGACAAAAACACAGCTTTCCAAACAAGCATTTGCTAAAATAAGAAAAAATCAGGAAAAAAAAAAGAAGAAAGGGTTGTCCTTTCCCATCCGCCACTTCCCCCCACCATTTGTCTCATCTTGTGGGTTTTCCCACCCACGAAACCCACAAAACCCATTTAATCCCCTATTCCCCCCACACACACATTGTGGTCACATTTCCCCTTTGTCTCACAAAACCAACCCACGCTGTGGGTGCCAGGTGGTCTAAGAAACTATTTTATGTCATACTGGTCTATCTTCCCTATTGTCAATATTGGCTTTAAATCCTAAGTGTTCGCAGCCTGACTTACTGTTTAGAACGAGGGAAAGAGAAAACAGGCATACCCTCTTTCAACAATCTCGTCAAGGCATAAGAAGATGAGATCCAAGTTCTCAAGTACCTTCCGCAGTATAACTGTCATTGAAGAATTATAACCCGACTTAATTGCAATCTAGTGGGAAACATATAAGGGTGACTTCTCTCAAACTTGAACCACAACTTTTACTGCTTTGTGATTGTTTAGCTTAGTTAATACTTCACTACAGTTAAACCGCTAAATAATAAGAACTTCACGGAGTAGTCATCACATCTAGGACCCGGGTTGACAATTAAAGCTAAACCCGATATACTACATACACATTAGTAGGTGGTTACATTTGGCCACTTTCTAGTATGACAGTACAGGCAAGTCAGCTGCCACACTATCGTACCCTAATCTTAATCTCGACGGTCGACTTACCCATCTTCTTACAAGTATCCATGCCTGTACCAGAGCTCGGTTAAATAACCACGAGCGACGGTGGGGTTGAGGCCTAGACCAAAACCAATAAAAAAAAAAAAAAAAAACTAGCCTTATACCAAAAGCAGCACCAGACGATATACCAAAACACTAGAACATGTTTCCTGCAAAAACATCATGTCGCGTGCCACAAAGTGATACTTGGCTCCTAAATTCTTAATAATTTGTCAGTGCAGTGGTGACAATTTTGCGCTAGCAACGTCGCCCACTACTACCAATTATTTGATGAACACCAAAATCGTAGAAAATAGCAACGACGACACACAATTTTGCAAGAAACAACTTTCGGGTTGTGTTGGCCTTCATGATGGTCGTTCCCATTTTTCTTTCACCTTGTATTTCAATTAACTACAATTGATAGAACTTTCATATGTGTAGTGTCTGATAGTTTGAAGCATATCCTTCGATAGTTATGACATTTAGATATGGTGAGATAAATTTAAGATGTGCAATGTCTACGGTCACATAATTCAAGCCCATCATATCTTTGGCCACTCTGTCTCATACAAATGAAACCTTGAACTCTGCCATTGTATATGTTCATCAGTAACATATTTGGCCAATTTACCACGTATTACTGCTACGGAGCTACCTTTTGTTCTGCCAGCAATAATCAGAATCAAGTTGATGGATCAAGTAGTTTCTTGATGAAATAGTTTCCACAATTACAGAATATAAGGTCTATCTAATTCAGCGGTCGGATACATAGGCCTTGGGAGGGGTTACAGTGCTAATTGTACAATAGTTAGCACCGTCCTAACCAAGGAAAAAACTACTACTAGTTTGAATTAGTAGTGATTTAGCTTAGATGTTGTATTGATTTTATAATAATCCGTAGTGATTTTTGCTAGTTATCACGGTGCTAACCCTTATAGGGGTTAGCACCTAATCCCATCCCATGGACCTTTACGGGTGTCCCGGGACACTCCTAAAATTTGGGAAAATGATTATCCAACTCCCGGTAGTAGTTTCGTATGGATAAAAAAAAATTATAGTTGGTAATCTGGGACACCCTTAAATTTTGAAAAACGATTATCCTGTCATCGGTAATATTTTGCGTATAATTAAAAATATATAAAAAGTACTCTGGTTATTCAAACCTAGGACACTACTATTATTAAACATATTCTCTAGGTTGCAACTCATTTGTTGTTTTATTTTAAACACTATGTTATAGTAATAACACTATTCTTTATTCCCAAATATTTTCAAAACCTAACAATTAAACTCATTCGAGCTATCCTTAATTTGAATTGATTTTATAGGTATAGTGCAAGAGTTGAAAGAGTATTCAAGTTTGAGTTACATCAGGAACAATGTTAGAAATTGAATATGCGATCAGTTCGGGAATTATTGTCTAATATGGTATATTTGCACTAATCAAATATTTTTTTATTTATGAATTATTTAATTTAATTTTTGGAAGAGGACACCCCTATAAAAATTTTCTGAATCCGCCACTGATCTAATTCCCCGTTAACTATCCATATATAATTTACTCCCCTAACATAAATACTGGAATAACTTGCAAGAACCCCCTCAAAATGCATCCAAAATTCCAAAGCATAATAAAACCAACAAAGTGGTCAAATGAGCAAAGATAAGAAGAACAAAAAAGATGTTTCTAACAAAAACTAAATCACCCTTTCAACTGTAGTCACCATGACAAAAAGACATGTGGCCTAACCGATACTACTTCTCGTTCAAGGCACAGATGCATGATTCAATGAAATTGCTACCTTGGAGCTTCAATAGTCTCGACAGCCTGCAAGCAAAGTGATCAGACGCACGTTAAATCAAAACCCATCAAGGGAACGCAGAAGAAGTATATTGTATATATATAGAAATTCTCAAAGTCCTGCTAGTTTCAATACTTAACTGTAGAAACCACTGCCTTAATAAGAAGGGTATCATCGAGGAGGAACCCTTTCTGAGGATCACCAAGATCGGCCCGTGACACGAATCGGTGGAATCCCCAGCAGGTATAAGATTTTCCATGGAAATTGGTTGCCGAACCTGTTTGGCGGGTAAGCAAGTATTGGAAAACAGAGCAAGGAAACAACTACGACAACAAAAACAGAGTAAAGCACCTGCAGGAAAATCTGCAGACGGCATGGATGAAAGCATCTATCTTTAGATGGAGAAAGATATATAGAGACAGAGTTACCCACACTTTCGCACAGAGGAGGTGCCGTTGAGTTGGTCGAGTAGAGTCAAGCTGATGATCGCTGGCACATTCCATCCCCATGGCTCTGTTTTCCAGTCGACAAATTGCACATATGCTGCCAGAAAACCGGGAATACGACGTTTCCCATTCGGGTAAACCTTAATCCTCCTGCAGGGTGACATTGAGAAACAGAGATAAACGGAATTGGACAGCAGAAAGACAACGGGGGCTCTTTTATTAGCAGTTCGTTTTACAGAAACTTGGCCAAGTTAGCTAGGGTTTTTGTACGAAAAGGGAAGTTAGTTAATTACCATCTGTGGCCCGCGGCTAGGAAAATGTCGGAGTAGATCTCGGTTTCTTTCCGCCTGGAGAAATTCTTAACCTTCAATGTGAGTTCCTTAGTCTCCATCGTCTTCATCACCGGCCGGCTCAACTTTCCCAGTTCCAAGTAAAGCAGTAAACTGAGAACTGTATGCCGAAACTGTTGAGTGGACAGGAGAGAGCGGCAAAACAAAAATAAACAAACACCGGAACTCAATATCTATTATATTCAAATTAACTACGTACTAAACAGTCAAATTAACTACGTACTAAACAGTCAAATCAAATCTTACTATCGTAGCTCAATGAATTAACTATATTTAGTCTTACGTCCACTATCCCATTTCAGACTGCATATAACATCGCTTGATCCACTGTTGATTCGGTAAGTTACTATGTTTCATGTAATATGTTCAGTTATTAGAGTTTCACTTTCGTTAATGACCTATTTAACCACGAATTATTGTATTGTTAGCCAAGCAATACAAAGCATTAAGTAAATTTCAGAGCAATAAAGATTTGAAGAAATCATAAAATCTAAAAGTAACTGCATTCTAATAGTGTTTCTCTCCATTGAAGTTTAGTCCATAATAAAAATAAAACACATGAATATATATGTCTATAATGAATAGTAACAAAAAGGAAAAGAATACTGGATTATCGAACGAACGAACAATGGAATTCCTTTTGTCGCTTCTCCTCTTTCTCCCTCCACGGTCCGTTGCTTGTTCGCTTCCCTCAAAGCTCGCCGTTCTGTCTAATAAATAAAGAATGATTAGGGTTATATTTTCCCCCTTTTCCTTGTCGGTACAAGCTACATAGTAGCAGGACCCTTAACGTGTATGGGCCGCATGACAAGTGGGCTGGGCCTGGGTCCCACTCCCTCGGCCTGGCCCGTTACTGGCGCTCATACACATACCTTCACCGGCGGGAAAGAAGGCGGCCGACGGTAGGACCACGACCCCCCTAGCGAACAAAAAACATAATACAAATGCGGCGAAAGGCAGAGCTACAATGTTAAATTAAAACTGTCACTCTCTCTATTCTTAAAAATCCTGTTCTTAGTTCCTGCAACCATGCTGGTCGGTAATAACAATGCAGCAGCAGGATGGTCGCTTTAATAGCGAAATGTTGAAACAACACAACAATCGTCAAGACATTGATGTTTGAGAAGAGTAAAATCTGAGCAAGTACAAGTGCAGTGACAAGCCTTAAACTGGAGAGGTTAAACTTTCAAGATTTGTAAGCTCGCAGGTAAAAAAAAAAATCATGGGAATAAACTATGAATAAAACTCCCCAAATTTCTCAACAAGTTCATCCTAACGAATGAGAACCAGGATCTTTGCTATCACGCAGTCTCTTGTTGATTTGCCTCACTGGAAGAGGGTTCTCGTTAAATGCTCCCGCGCTGTAGCCAATGCTTGAGAGATCGTCTGTGCAATTGAAAAGCAGAGGGGGGAAAAGATGAATGAAGATATGAACCTATGATGCCATAGAAGACAGTAACGGAGGATGCAATCAGAAAGCCAACCTGCTCAGACAATGGTGCAGCAGGATCCATGCTATTGACGGCCACCTTTCCGGCAATGACATTGGCATCAGTCTCCAATATCATCCTGCGGCAAAGTAATCCTCAAGTAAGAAGCAATAAAACACGCTCCTGTGGTAAATTTATCAAAAGACAAAGCCTGACAAGCAAGCAGTGCAGAGAAGGAGCCATTCAAGGCATTGAGATTACATTTGAAATGAAAAAATGGATTAAGCTAACAAAAGGATGTTTATGCTCCATAAAGTAAGTTTGCTTAAGCAAGCTAATGGTCCACATTAGAACCCCCAGTAGGATTGAACTTATAATAAAACGGACAAGCAAGGAAACCACTATATAAGAAACTATTTTATGCCATACTGGTGTATCTTCCCTATTATCAGTATTGGCCTTAAATCCTAACTGTCTAGAACGAGAGAAAGAGAAAACAGGCATACCCTCTTTCAACAATCTCGTCAAGGCATAAGAAGATGAGATCCAAGTTCTCAAGTGCCTCTCTCTTGTCAACGTTGTTCCTATGTCAAGAAGGAAGATTGAGTCAATCACACTGAAGAAATTATATGAAAGAAAGCAAGCCCAGGACAGTACTTAGAACTACCTCAGGAGAAGAGCAACAGAATCAAAGAAACCTTGGAGCACTGCAGACAATATAAGTTCATTTTCATCATCCCCTCCGGTGACAAAGAAGTGGAGATCCTGAATGAACTTGTACACGATGATGTAGTTGTCAAACATGGTAATCTCCGCTGGGCCAGAACAATAAATAAATGGGTCAGCAACGCAGTCAAGCATGACTTTACAGCTTAGTTAGAGTATTTAGATTCAACTAAAAACCGCATAACGTTGATCAAACAAACCTTCTGTCCGGGCATTAGTCTTCATTGTTTTGGTAAACAGAGCTTTCTCAAAGGCTAGCTTGGAGTTATTGGTCGGCCAGTCATCTGAATAGTACTTGACAGCCACGCGCTTCCCTTCCGAATCCAGTAAAAGAATGTTCTTCACAGTAGGGCAGGCATCCTGCAAACAACAGATCAAGCATATCCCTCATTCCCTAAATCAAGCGAAACCCAAGAATATCCACCGCAGAATAACACCACAAACTCACTGATTCACTGTAAACCCTAAATCTTTAATTCGCCAAAATCCATTTTCAAAAGCCTAAAAACAAAATATTTTACCCCTACGCCAGTTTATCATCACTCAACCGATCTATTCATGTACCAATTGGATCAAACGAAATTCCGCGCTCCGGAAACCCAACTGTAGAGATCTCCAGTGCGGCAGTAAGCAACAGTTGTGGAATTGAGACAATCTATGCCGCGCTCTCAACAAGCGGACCAAGCAGAGCACATTCGTGATTTCAGTACCAATCATATCAGATCCAATAGCTTTTCATCTAGCTAAGTACGAATCTGAGATCTGCGGAAATAAAGGTGGAGGAGAGAATGACTTACGCGAAAAGAAGAAAGGGCCATGGATGTGAGATTGAAAGCGCGAGAGTTGATTTCAGAGGAAGAACTCGACGTTTTGGTTATAAAAGTTCTGTTTTTCTAATTTGAGCCATTTAAATGCTCAGCTTCTTTTTTTTTTTTTTTTTCTCCCTCGATTCGGGTGTTAAATGCATCAAGTGTCATTTAAGTTTTACTTTTGTACCGTAACATCCGAACATTTTTCCAAGTAAGATATTGTTCGTTTTGGGCTTCTCATAAGGTCACCTATCCTTATTGTACTCTAAACTGAGCACGTTTAATTTCAGAGTTCTCACAATAACTCCTCCATTTCACCCCAAAATGCGTCTTGTCAGTTCAGACTGGTTTCCTACTTATGAACCATGGATCTCTCTCGTGCTTTGTCGATGTGGGATTTGTCTAAGGTGTTACATACAATTGTGTCAGCTCAATTGTTGAGTCAGATGATGTGCTTCCTTTTACATGTGAGACTGGTACATTTTGAAGCCCTTATAGGATTTCCTCCCCAAAACCCCTCCACCGCCACCATCCCTCGCTGAGCTATGCTTCTCCAACGCCAATTGTGTCCCTCGCTGCTCCTCTTCAAGAAATCCTAATACAAACCTTTAAGCTCGTCAAAGGTCTTGAAAATTCAATCGTCGACCAAGTTTGTCATCGGACTTCCCAGACGAGTTACCAATCAAGATTCCTTGAAATGTAGCTGCAAAATGAGGAAGGGAGATGCTTGGCGTTGAAAGACGATGAGTAAAATAACACCATCAAACACTATGGAGTTCTAAAACTTGAGCACCTCTGAATTTCCAAACAATAGGTCTTGCGGGATGCACCGGAGGAGAAGCAGGTGAACTAGAGGGATGCAAAGGTGATGCTCGAGGGCCAGAGTTCGTTCGAGGAAGAATAATAGCAGATGGCGATGATGGGTCTGGGTGGAATCTAACCATTATGTAATGGGTAAGAATAAGATAATTTGGGGAGGGCGGGGATGATGGCAAGATTATGTTCTCAACACGGCGAGGAGGAGAGGGAGAAAGGAATGATGAGGTGTTTGAGAATTGGTTGGTTGAGGGATAGGAGTGGAGAGAACTAGGGGATGGTGAATTTTAACAATGGTGACGACTATGATGGAGAAGCGGCGGTGAAGGTCAAACTAGAGGTATAGATCTAGAAGATCATGGACGGTAAAAACTCTTTGCATTAGATCTTCCAAAACTTATAGATCTTCGGATGCTAATACCCGACACAAACTAAGAGAGGCAAAGGTGGAGCATCGTCTTGAAAAAATGTTCGTCTCCACCGCTTGCCATTGGGAGTGTAGACGATAAAAATCATTTGGTGGATGATCTCATTGGGAAGTTCTAATGGATAATCCTAATCCTTGGGGGGATAACAATGGAGAATTTAGTAATCGACGATGCCCATTTGATGGACCCTGTATTCAACCAACATCATACGATACACCATCATTACTAGTAGTAATTTACCCACCAAGAACACAATTACTTACCCTCTATTTCTCTTATACGTGGAACGCAAGGTATGAGCTGGATCCTCCTACTGTCCACTCATCTTTACATCATAATTCTCTCCAACAATCGTTGTTTGCATTATTCATCCATCCGAGCAACTAATGGAACTTTTATCTCCCACGTAATCAAGTCTTCCTTTCCATCTAATCCATGTGTTAAAAATGAGACAAGGTGTCATATAATTGCACCCCCCATTCATCATCTCATGGTTGAGTGGTAAAACAACAAATCCCCACCTCATGTACATGTAGGAAGCTACTGATGCTTCTTGGGTGGGTGGAAAATTTACCCTCCAAAATAATCTCATCCACCATTTTTTTTTTACTTTCCACATGGATGAAGAATGGATGGTGTGGCAAGTCCACTAATCATCACGTCTTTGGCCTATTTTACGCTGGGTTGTGTTCCTTTGTCACATTTCAGGTCCTAGCACATAAAGTGAAGCATAGGCGCAAGTTTCAAGTCAATCAGAGATCAATTGGCGATTAGGGAGAAGAAACTCGGGCATGACCTGAAGAAGAATGGATTTCTACCTCACTTTATGGACAAAGAATCATGCAAGCTTGTCATGAAAATAAAGAGGACAAGACTACGAGCGTCTGGGATAAAACGGCGACTGATTCGGAGTCCGGACGAGGGAGAAACGAAGCATTGAATTTAGGGGAACAGGTTCGGCAGTAAAAACACGGGCGCGCCTAAATCAAAACACGGCCGGGTCCATATTTAGGCACGACCGTGTTTTGGCCGACGAGGGCTGCTGGGAGCAAAACACGGGCGGGCAAAATCAAAACACGGCCGTGTCCTCGACGTGTTTTGCCCAGAATCGGGTTTTTTTAGGCAGATTGAAGCCAAAGGAAAGAGGGAGCTGGGTTTTGGATCCAAAACACCCAAGGGACGAACCAAAGAGAGAGAGGGCGATTTGGGGGCATTCTAAGAGTGGAATTGGAGGATTTCTTCGCCTTGGAAGCTCGAGGAACAAGCCCAGACTTGAAGACTGATCATCTGAAGATTCTTAATGCAGCCTCTCTCTTCTCTATGGAGTAACTTCCCTTCACTTAGGTTTTGAGGAACCCTAGCTATGTTTGTTTGATTGGATGATTGTATGAGTACTCTGACTTGATAACCTTGAGTTCATATTCAATCTATGCATGTTTTCATGATTCAATTCTGCTTTAGTCGAGATTATTGATTCTGCTTTGATCCTATGAGAGCGAATACCTGATTAGGTCAATAGAGCACCATAGTTTGATAGTAGTGGATCGATTGCTTTAGTCGAGGGTTGATTCACTGCTTTGTATCGACTGAGAACCTCTTTTGATAGAGGGAATCTAGTTCAGAACGCCTTGATCGGTTGTTCTAGAGAAGGATACGTCCCTCTAGGCAATTGACTCAAGAGGGCCTTGTTCCTTTAGTCGAGACTCAAGGTCTAGTCAAGGATTCTCCGCATTGTGAATGAAAGTGAAACAAGTTAGAAATCATCAATCGTTAGTCTGGCTAGTGGCTAGGGGGAATCATACCTAAATGAGTTCCCAACCTGTAATTAGATTAAGGCAAAATACACTTGTATAGTCATAACTTTCACGTTTTTGACAAATATAGTCATTTCTATTCGAAAACCACAAATAGCCAAGAAATTGGATGGTCGTGTGACAAATCTAGCCATTTTCGTTAGAAACTTTAACGGTGTTAGAAACTCCGTTAGTTAAATTAACGTTGGGCTGACTAGGATGCCAAATCATCGCACACGTCAGCGACAGCTCAACCACACTTGCCACGTAAGTGCCATGTCATATTTTAATTCAAAAATAAATTAGTTAATCAATTAATAACTAATTTAAAAATATAAAAATATTTATTAATTTTTTCCTTTTCAATATCCAGTCTCCTCTCCTTCTCTCCTCTCCTTCGACCTCCCCATCTGTTCTCCAATGGACTCCCCCACAATCTCAATGACGGAGATAAACAGAGGCTGAATCATCACCAAAAAAGTCAATTTCTTCACTTCTTCTCTATCAAAATCCCTTCTACCTTCTGTTCTTCTCGTTGCAACCCTTTCATCCTCCCAAATCGCCAACGATGCAGTCGTTCCCAGGAGAGGCACAGCTTCAATCGAAGCCACCGCCGCATCAATCAACTTTCCCACCACCGCCGCATCAATCGTCATTCCCAACCAGCGACCATTGCTCCCAATCAACGACCCGACCCCCTCCGTCTCCGAACAAAACCCCTTCCCTGCAACAAAAATCTCAAACTAAAAAATACCCAAAATCTCCAGAGAATATACCTAACCCCCTCCGTCTCCGATTCAGATCTGCCTCACCGATCCTACCGCACAGCCAGGCCCTGCAGCTCCTTCGCCGCAGCCCTCTCCGCCTTCAGCTCCTCGTACCGGCTCGCCTTCACCATTTCCCCCAATCGAACGAGCATGAAGCTGATGTTCATCCCCAGCTGCTCGAACCCTCTCAACTCGCTCTCCCACATCTTAAATCTCTGCCTCATCCGCGGAGCCAACCATGGACGAAGCTGCCATGAAGGCGACGGCGATTGAGGATGAAGAAGTGCTGGTGGTGGTGGTGGTATTTCAGGTGGCGATGGGTTGCGGCGGCGGCTTGAGGTGCTTCTCGACCTCGAGGGGATCCAGCCGGCAAAGAGGGTGTCGATTGAAGCGTTGATTTCTAGGGATAGACAAAGGGCAAATAGATTTTAGGGATTTCATGTGGATGTATTGGGGATTTTGTATTAATTTGTTCTTTTTTGTTTAAATTTGTTTTTTTTCTTTTCCACGTCGGAAGGTGGGGTAACTCAGTGGCCAACTCAGCGCAAGCCGTTAGTACAGTCATAATGTCTACTAACACCGTTACCAAAATGGACGGAATTGGCTATTTGTGGTTTTCGAATAGAAATGGCTATATTTGTCAAAAGTGTGAAAGTTATGGCTATACAGATATATTTTGCCTTAGATTAACTTTAACTGTAGTTTGCTATAGTAGTTTTAGTTCTTCCTTATTAATCTGGTTTGCTAAATAATGAACTGAAGCTGAGTAATAGTAACTCTAGAGACCCGTGGATTCGATATTTATTACTTGAGCCTCTATACTGCAGTCCCTTTCATTGGTTACACATGGCCTTTGTTAGGAGTTGTGTCATAGCGAGTCAACAAACAATAAAGAATATGCCACCCACACTAGGAGCAGGAGACGCCTATAAATAGGATGCCCATTTATGCTTTTTCGAGAGTTCATTTCGGATAAAACTCTGAATCTCTTTCTAAAGCCAGCTCAATACGCCGGTCTGGGTTACTCTTCTCTCAATATTGACTTGAGCTTCGAAGCAGGTCCCCACTGACCACGGTCGGCGGGTCCTTTTTTGCATCAAGCCATCAATAATTGGCGCCCAACGTGGGGCCCGATGATATTAATACAAACAAATCGTCAATCCACCAAGATGAGGTGGACACACAGGATCTACAACCCGAACTCGGGATTCATCAAGAAGCAACTCCAAACATCAATCAAGTTGCTATCTTCAAGAATCGAGTATCCCAAAGAGATGGAAATGCAGGATCCGCAACCCGAAGAAGGGATTCGTCAAGATGCAGCTCCAAACATCAATCAAATTGCTATCTTCAAGAATCGAGGATCCCAACGAGATGGGCATGCAGGATCTGCAACCCGAAGAATTGGCAACTGACATCAACAACCTATAGTGAGCTTTGATGAAAATTTCCATCAACAATTTGCGCTTACTATGGAACCCGGTGAAAAAATTTACAAATTGTCATTGTCAACATCAAACCCGCTAGAAGAGATGGTGGAGAAACCTGATGTCGTACAATTCACAAAGAGTTGGAGGGGACACCGATTTTGGTCTACCTCTCGCAAGACCTACGTTTTAGCGAAAAAGCCCATGTAGTTTTTTAGTAGGCACACCTCCATCAATGAGGTCAAGGGTTCCATTCCCCGCGAATTGCTATTGTAAAAAAAAAGATCAACTTTTTCACCCACACCACTCTGCCTCCCATCTCTTTCGAATCCTGACGGTACAACTTATGCATCATCATCACCAAATTGGCAGGGGAACCTCTTCCTTTCTCATGCTCCAATTAAGAAAAATCCAAGTATGAGAAGGTTTTTGTAAACGCAAAAACTATCTGGTAATCCCTCATAAACTCTCATTTATACTTGATATCAAAATTCTCCTATGATGTTGCATGACCCAAACTAGTGTCCTTATCACTCATACAAGGACAACTCTAAACACGCAACATAAGCCCACATCGATTGACATTGGTCGCTTGTCATGATTGGTTTGGGTCGCCTATCATGATTGGCACGATTCTCCATGGATGTGATGTGCTTGTCATAATCGACACGGCTTTCCATGATTGCTCACCATGATGGTGCTTCCCATCTTCCATGATTGGCATTGCTCTCCAACAATTACTTGCCCAGTTTATGTCGATATGCAGAACATGACTTACATCACTTACCTAGTGATTTGATTACCAATAGAAAAACTTTGGTCTCAACCTTAAATTTTATATTGGTAAGGGGGCAATTGATGGACCATGTATTCAACCGACATCATAAGATACGCCATCATTACTAGTAATTTACCCACCAAGAACACAATTGACTTACCCTCTATTTCTCTTATACGTGGGGAGGCTAGGTATGAGCTGGATCCTGCTACTGTCCACTCATCTTTACATCATAATTCCCTCCAACAATCGTTGTGTGCATTATTCATCCATCCGAGCAACTAATGGAACTCTTATCTCCCACGTAATTAAGTCTTCCTTTCCATCTAATCCATGTGTTAAAAATGAGACAAGGTGTCATATAATTGCCCCCCCCCCCATCCATTCATCATCTCATGGTTGAGTGGTAAAACAACAAATCCCCACCTCATGTACATGTAGGAAGTTACTGATGCTTCTTGGGTGGGTAGAAAATTTACCCTCCAAAATAACCTCATCCACCATCTTTTTACTTTCCACGTGGATGAAGAATGGATGGTGTGGCAAGTCTACTAATCATCACCCTCAATCAAACGCAATTACATGCAATTTACTACCTACAAATAATGCATGAGGTGGTTTTATTCAGATCATATATTTCCTCCACCAAACTCACTCCCCCTTTAACCTACACGTGGAGAAGAAATAAGGAGTTTCTCCACCAAGGTGAGTTTCTTAATCTTTGTTTAAATTGTTAATTCATTTAATTTTTATGCTTTATTTACTAACAATAAAGAATACGCCACTCACACAAGGAGCAGGAGACGCCTATAAATAGGATGCTCATTTATGCTTTCTCAACAGTTTATTTTGGAGTGTAACTTCTAAATCACTCTCTAGAGCCGGCTCAACGTCGCTCCCGGTTACTCTCCTCTCAAATATTGACTTGAGCTTCGGAGCAGGTTCCCACCGACCACCTCCGGCGGGTTAATCTTTTGCAGGTTTTCATCTCGAAGGCTGGTGGCGGACGTTGGCTAGGAGGACAGCGCTCACTGGACCACAAACACATTGAAGCAGGCTCCTCCAAGCTTGCCATCAACACCATCAAGGCCGGGGGAGAAAGAGGCACCAAAATACACATGGGACACATGTAAAAATAAGTCCACTATCTGACTATGCAATTAAGCTGAGTTGGATTGTTGGCATAGAAAAAATTACCATTTGATACTCACCATTAATTTTAGAGACGAAATATAAAACAATACAACATAAAACATACTTGTATGGTTTAGTTGCAACAAAAAGAAGCTAGGTGGCCAGCATACAACAAAAACAATATTCAAGTGGCACACAATGCATTTAACCCTCGATCCGGGCATCCGGCTACAAATCCCGTAATTTCTAGCATTTTGAAAAATTCGCAACTCGCAAATTGTTTAGCCCGTTCGCCGGTCGAGTAAACTGGGTAGAAAGTTAATAGTCGATTCGTTTTCACTTGATTTAGTTATGATCCACCAAAAATCATTATAGTGTTCATATATTTAAAATTATATAAATTTTTATCTAATATATGGGCAATAACATATAATATTACATCAAAATAAAGTTTGTAATCGGATCTAACATATATTAATAATTCAATCGCACTCATGTAACATCAATATTCAAATACTCAGCTTGGAATTCCAAAGATAGGATTAGGCTAACGAGAAAACCGAAAAAATACGCATTTCGCAAACCAAAGGGATAAACAATGTTGTCTAACCTCCAACCATGGAACCTTGTCACGGGTTGACCCGCGAGGGTTGAAGCCCGTTTTTCTCATTGATTTCAAATAAAGTCGGGTTAACCATTGGGTTGACTACTTGATAATTCGTAAATTTCCCATTTCATCTTAAAATTATTAAAAGATTTTGTATTTTGACCCAACGCCACCTAATCCAAACTGAAAGTAGAAAGTATCCACACCACCCACTCTCTTTTCCCTTCTTCAACCGCTTCTCCTCCGTGGGTCTTCCCTCAACTCCTCAAATGTCTTGATAATTCAATCCCCGACTTCTTTTGGCGAGGAACTTGCTTTTCAACCGACTTCTCGAGTAGTTGAACTTCCTTCCCCCCTTTAAAGAGTAATGGCATGAGTCTCTACTTGTGGGAGTGGATTTGTGTGATTTAAAGATGCAACACTCAGCTTTGCCATAAAAATTTGAGCAATTTTTTCAACTTGAGCACTCATATTTTCAAGAGAATCTTTTGGAAGTTGTTAATTTTTCTCAATTGCTTTAACATTTTGATTGGTGCTATCAAAAAACTTGTCCAGGAACTCTAACCTCATTCTACATGTTGGCACAAACTGGCCAATGATCACTTCCATCCTCTCCATTCTAAAGCTCAACTCTTGGTGGATTGAAGATGAAGAAGCTTCATTGACTTATTGTTGATATATAGACTTGTTTGTTGAAGAGAACTTGAGTTCTCGGTATTGAAGGTTCTCACTATATAGACTTGCTCTATAACAGTTGGTTGGGACATCACTCCATTCCTTTTGTTGTGGCTATTCAACTCTTCAATATAATTTGTTAGATACTCAATATGCTTCATGAGGAAAGTAAGGTGAGTTGTTTGTGATGAGCATTTATCCATTCATAGAAGTCTTGCTTTGTCTTCCATCTTCCCAATCTCGCTAACTCAAAGCTTCTTCTTCAAAGAGATCACAAGTTTGATCCAGAGCTTAGTTTCTATATGTTCATCGTCTGATTGTGCCAATGGGTTCTCTATACTCACCCCTAAACCCATTTCATAAAAAAAATCAATTGAAGCCAATCTTGAAAACCATTGTTAGGACATTTGAGGAGAAGGGTTTTGTACCTCTTTCAAGCCTCATGTAAAGGCTCTTCGTCTCCTTGGAAAATTTGAAGATTTTCCCTCTTAGTTGAGATGATTTTAAAGAAGGGAGAGGTAGATGTTGATGAATTTCTCATAGAAGTCCTTCTAAGAGAAGATGGAGAGGGATGGATGGTTGGAAAGTCACTTCTTAGCTATCATATTCAATGAGAATGAGAACACCCTTGGCCGAATAGCTTCTTGATGAATCTCAACCATCTTGATTCCATTGGTGAAGTTGATGAACTCTTATACATGAGTGTGGGGTTCCTCATCATTCAAACCATGAAATTGAATGCTTGATTGAATCATGGTCATTACGCTCAACTTTATAGCAAAAATGAGGCCCTTCGTATGTTTGATTGATATTGGATATCCTCAAATATTGGTCACCCATTCTATTCACATGTGTTATAAGTATAACTACACAAACTGAGAAAACACTCTTGAATGAAAAAATGGGTATTAAACACAAACAAACAACAAAGATAAAGTGCAAGAAAGTAAATAGTTAAACTAGTAACTACACCCTTTTCACAAATAACCTAATTATTTCACGACTGTGGCGCTAAAAACTTGATGTGTCTCAATAGAAAAAGGTTATAAAACTTGTCATTCAGACTATTCTACTTCACTCAACCAAGATAAGTGCACCTCAATCGAGTGGCGTAGTATATGGTTGACCTTTAAGGTCGTATTCCCATGGGCATCGATTATATTGCTACATTGAAGCTTTGCTACTATCTAAACGATTGATTAGTTGATGAGTTACACTAAATAATATGAAGGGAACTAAATTTCCATTAAAGACTAACTCGAGAGAGAAATGAGGAACTTGGGATTCATATCCCCGAACCCTAACATGCAATCGAGTGGATGTAATTCTATTCATTTCCCCCAATCCTTATGATGCAAGAATCTTCTAGGTTACCATCTAAGTCAATGGTCATGCACTTATACGCACATCCTAGGTGACTGCTTGGTTCAATGGCCATGCAACCAACTAATCCATAGAGCATTGAGCTTAGATTTCAAATTGAAAACAAGTCCAAAGAAAAATGGAACTTTAGTTCAATGGTCATCAATTAAAATTTCATATTACTTGATGTGGGTTCTAGTCTTGACCTAATATATGTTCACTAATTTAGGTCATAATAGGAAATTAGGTTCATGCATAGTCTTTCATTCCTAAATAATCATCTACATGAGTTAGGGTTCAACTTACTTGTGTACTAAGCGGTTTTAGCCCATTGATGAAAGGGAAGAATAAATTGAGTGAGGGGGAGGAGGATTCATCTTGGGAGGCTCTTCAATTTTCAAATCCTCCTTCTATTCTTCAAGAATCTTTTGTACAATAGTTGAAATCTTCATGCTTTACTCCTCCTTCAACCAGCTCTCACTCTAGGTTTAAGGAGACCCTTCCTCTCTTTATTTGGTGTTCAAAATACTCAACCAGTTCACATGTCAAATATCATGACCTAAGGTTTGGATGAGTTCACGACCGTGATCTTTGTCGATTCCTCTGAACTTTCATTGCTCACTGCATGGGTCACGATCGTGAGCAGGTTCATTGGCAGATTTCACCTGAGTTCACAGTCATGAACAATTCTCATGGCTGTGACTTGTTGCAGTGGTCTGTCCCTTTATGAACATGAGGCTAGTCGTGAGACCTCCTGATCTCATCGTCGCTGACTCACTGTGTTCACGGACCAAAAATCAATTTCAAAGCCGTAAACATTGGTCGTGAACTTGGCCACTGTTTGGGTCTGGTAGTGACCTGACCCTAGGTCTTCTTTTCAACCTTTGAACTTCTAATTGTCACGAAACTTGGTACACTCCTTTCTTATCATGCTTGAAATGGAGATTAGAAAAGAAAAAAATAACCTAACCTAAAATAGAATAGGAATGAACAAGGTACGAGCCAAATATCCAAAAACCAAATAACATCATGCTAAGTCTTAGGAATCAACATGAAAACAACTTCAAACGACCAAAGTACGATGATTATGACATTCAAACTCCTAATAAATGGGACCTAGTCTTAGAATATGCATAAAATGTGAGTCACCAACAGACTAAACTTAAGCATCGTCCTTTTGCAAATAGTACTAACAAGTAGCAAGTATACTACATCATACATAATAAATCAAAATCCCAATAAACATTGGATCCAACATTTCCAATCCAACAATCAAGTATTCCATACAATTAGGGGATGTTTGCTTGTTAGATTTGGGTCATGAATTACCCAAATTCCAAGGTTGATGGATTTAACACAAGTCCATTATTTGTCGATGGGTGCTAAATTTGTGGGGTCCACGAATTTGGTCTTTGTTTTGGAACCAAATCCGTGGACCCCACGGACTTGTAAATCCCACATATTGGTTTGGGATTTGTAAATCCTTGATGCTTAGTTATTTATGTAACAAATTCATCACAAATATACCATGCAAACACTAGACTTTTCAAATCTATAATTCAATAAATCCATCATAAATCCCAAGGTATTTGTTGCCCAAACCACTCATTTTTCAAATCCAACAAGCAAACGACCCCTTAGTTGTGCTATCTTAGTGAACAGTAATCGTGATTTACCTTAATATATATATATATATAAAATAAAATTCAAACAATTTTCCCTTCTAGCATGAGGTTAGAGGTTGGCAACTGGAACTGTTTTCTGGGACAATTGCTTGCCTTAAAAAATCTATGTAATAAAACAATTAGTCATTATTCCTTATGGTTAATTGTACTCTATGAATAATGATTTTTATATTTTACACGATCACCTTGACAAGGAGGATCACTGTTGTAGAAAGGTGGTGCTTTAACAAAGGGGGAAAAATACTCTGATGTGTTTTACATTATGCCAAAAACATGCTCGAAAACAGAGAACTTCATAGAGTGCAATATTACAAATGACCTAAAACTTCTTTTCCATATCCTAATCACTCAAATAATAAAGACAATAGGCAAATCCAAATTTGTACACCAACAGAAACAGAGTAATCTCCTACACATACAACACTCAAAACATAACCGATTAGACACAATTAAAAATCTATATATGTGCCTATATCTAACTGAAATTCATATTTTCCCCCAAATCAGGAATCCCTGAGAGTCTGATCTCTTCTCTTTCACGGACTGTAGAAAGAAGGGCCGCATTTGCATTTCCAACTCTCGGGCTCATAATTTGCATAGCTCAATCTCAGGCCATGGTTGTGGCTTCTGCTGGTTGTGGGCACTTCAATTGCTTTACATGGTGAGCACCCATAGCACTTGTGCTCACAACTTGGAGGGCTTGATCCTATTTTCCCAAACCCTTTTGAGTAATAAGCTTCCTCATCAATCCCCTGCAGAAAAGTTCCCACATTTTCTCTTGGGTAAGCTGAAATATCAATGCTAAAGAAAAGAAGCATATGGTTTTGCCAGGTAAACAAGAAATTACCTGATTTAAGCTCGAAGGGGTTCTGGATTCTGCTCCCAGGAAAGCCTGTGATGGTTGTTGATTAGTCACTGGTGAAGACAACAATCAAAGGATGAGAGGGTTGAAGGAAGTTTTTTTGGCCAGTGATTTACATGAAGTAGAAGAAAAAAATAACCGTCAAAACGAGACAGCTTGCTTACCTGGTTGATTAGCTGCAAGAGGCCTACTTGTGGAACAGACCAATTTCATCTGCAGAGCTAATACAAGAAGAAGAACAGAGTAAGCAGTGATGGTTTTGGGATCCATGGTGGGTTTTAAGTAGAAAGAGAGGCAGCCGCCTACCCTCTTGACTAATGATGATGATTTCTGGACTGTTGTAGGAAAATGGCAAGTAAATGAATGCACACCAAAAAGGTAGCAAAAAACCATAAAGAACAAAGCTTCACTTGTTCTCGTCTTACCATTTTTTCATTGATTGGTCTTTTCCTGGATCTGCTGTTGAGATACAAAGTGGCTGATCTGGTAATGATTCTGTGGGAATGAAAGCTCCAGAAAATCAGTCATGATATAACTGGATCTGGATCATCAAGAACAGAAGTGAATTAATTACAAGACAAAAGGTTTAACAGATGAGTGTTTAACGTTAAAACTGTTAAAACTGCACTCGAGAAAAAGAAGAAGGTAATTATTGTTGTGTAACACGTCCAGAAGTGTTGCTGCTATACATTGATATTTGTGTTGTTTTGATTAGAATGATTTGATCATTCATTCTGATGCAACCGTACAGTCCCAATTACAGGGACCCTATTCTTCTCACCTACAAAAGAAATTTCTTCTTACAAGCATTTTGTCTTGTGCCATGCTTCCCATCAAAACTGCCATTTGTCCGGACAAAAGAAAAACAACAAAAGACCATGGACCAGAATTGATCTACTTTGAACTTGGCCAAAAGAGATTGATATGGAAAAGAAATGAAAAAAGGCCCCTAAACTAAAGGCAGCACCTTTCACATCTTCATGACACCATATATTGCAACAGTAAATGCACTACAGCTTTCCTACCTGACTACTGCCCACAGCCTACAAACCTATGCTATGCTGCCATTTCATCAGCTATGATTTCTTTGTGAAGCAAGCAAGCACACTTTGGAGTTTGGACAAAAGCACACAGAAAAAGAAATAGTAAAACAAAGTCTTATTCTCAAGCTCCAGCCTCCAATCAAATTGAGGACATAAATGCTTTATAACTTCCTCCCACAATCTGCACTCTTCAGTGCACTCCTCCTTTGTAACTAATTAATAACGGTATTGCTCTATTACTGCTGCATTTCTTTATGGCTTTGTCCTTTGTATGCATTGAATCGAAATGAAATTCCCTGGTATGATAACTGCTTGGAGACTCATCAGTTATCAATTTTTGTGCCTGTGACGCCTGTCATATCAATACTATTCAGCCTTCTTTCTGTTTTCTGGAAAGATGGAAATTTATTACATAGCTAATAAACAGTTCCACAAAATGAATCATATCTATAGTGCATGTCATGGGATGAAAATGCAACATGATGATCAAAAGACGACGTCACGGCTATGGGGAAAGCATTGAACGCAAGATCAACATATGCCCTGAGATCTGACGAAATGAATTTGATGAAAAAATGAGCAATTATTTTTATATTGGATGAAGAACCAATAGCAAACATCCATATCTGAATAGAGCATTGGTATCACAAGAAAGAAGAGCAATTACTACAATGGTGAATCATCATATTACAATCCATTCAGCAGATGTTTTCAAATGACAATGGTCATCGTTGAATGCACATGATCAATCTCTCACCCTTATACCCAAAGGATGATAACACAACCAAATATTTGTCAAACCTTCCAACTTCCATACATTATGTGGAAGATGACTTGTGATGATCCTTCTCCTTCTTCGGATGAATTGTTTCGACGAGGGCCTCGATCTCCTCCTTTGCCCGCTGAAACACCCCTGGACCTTTTACTTCATCGACCGATGTGAACTCATCAATGTCATCGCTCGTTCCATGAGTTTCCTTGGTGTGTGTTGGGGAGTGGTTTCCTGCCTTGTCCTTCTTGTGAGTTTCCTTGGTGTGGGTTGGGGAGTGGTCTCCTACCTTGTCCTTCTTGTGATGAATCGTCTCGACGAGGGCCTCGATTTCTTCCTTTGCCCTCTGAAACACTCCTGGTCCACTCACTTCATCAATGGAGGTCTTCTCATCAATGTCATCGCTCGTTCCATGAGTTTCCTTAGTGTGAGTTGGGGAGTGGTTTCCTACCTTTTCCTTCTTGTGATGAATCGTCTCGACGAGGGCCTCGATTTCTTCCTTGGCCCTCTGAAACACTCCTGGCCCTCTCACTTCATCAATTTCTGTCTTCTCAACAATGTCATTGCTTGTTCCATGAGTTTCCTTGGTATGCTTTGGGGAGTGGATTACCTTGTCAATCTTTTCCTTAGCCTTCTCAATGAAGTTTGGATGCTTCCCTTCTTCAATTCATAAACAAATCAGATAAGTCAAATCCCATATGTACAGATTGAAATTGCAGAACTAGATTGAATCAAGATTCAGCAGTGCGTAATAATTGAAGCATAAAGGACCCCCCACAACTAGCATACGATCGGAATCATAATTGATCGCGATATAGAATACTTGTGCAAAGGACTCACAACCCAAATAAATAAATCATCAAAAGATACTGAATCAGATAGGAATAGTAGTCGTGATGTAGTACCAGTTGCAGAATGTGATTTGGTAGGTGTCGTTTCCGCCAATTGTAGGGGAGTGGCCGGAGTTCTCTGAATCTGATTCGACGGCGGCCAATCACTTGAGTTTCAATGGGAGGAAAATGGTTGGCTGGCTGGATTGGTAGGTGATCGAATTCCAAGCGATTTCTCGTTTTGTTATTCTTCTGTTAGGAGAGGCTGCTTGTTCAGGGGAATATTCGGAAGAGAGAAGAGAAGGGGATGAAAGAAAGAGAAGAAGAAGAAAAAAAGTAGAGTTTAGGCCTTGAAATTGGCTGTTTGTGGATGAAAAGCCCACATTCACATGTCCAATACGGAGTAACTCACAAGAAGCCCCGGGATTTGCCCATTTGGGGAAGCCCATTATGACAAGGAGAAGAAGACAAAACAGATAAGGCTGTTGTAGAGAGTAGTATTTGCATTTGACATTTGTCTGAAGGGACATCTTAATTAGAAGTGTATATATATATATATATATATATATATATATATATTTGGTTCACAATATTGGATTCATATTAGATGTAATGTTTGTAAATTGATATTTATATCGTTACCAAATTCTGATAGAACACATATTTAGATCAGTTTGATTTTTTTACTTCTTAATATAGTTTTAAGATAGATAACACCATCATCTTTCTTTATTTTCTTATTTAATTTTATCTAGTAGGAAGTATATTCATTTTTTTTATTGTTGACCCCAAGATTCAAATATAGAGTGCAGTGAATGTTCTCATATCTACATATCAATTTTTTTTTAACAAAACCATTCCTTCATATTATTAGCGCAAACCCCTTGAGGTTATGTTGCAGGTAGAATGGTGGGCTGGATTTGGTGTTTGTGTGCTGCAGGTATTTGGAGGGAACGATGTAAGAGAATTCATGGTGATGCTGGCCATACTGCACTGGTTGGCAATTTAATTTTGCAGAATTTACGGCTCCTGAGTCTTTGTAACTGCTATGCGAAGAATGATTTACAGTTGCTAGGTTTTGGTCCTTAATTTTGTTGATATCGAATAGAGTTGAGTGGGAATGAGAGGGGGTTGTCCTCTCATTCTATTTTACCCCCTTGGATTTTTGCCCAAGGTAGTTGTATCAGACTTGTTTTATTAATGTGAAGAACTGATTCAACGAGCAAAAAGAGGTTATGCTAATTCAATTTATTACTTGTAAGCTTTTAAAGTTAATTTTTGCCACCCATATTCTTGTGTTTTAATAAAAATCGTAAAATCACGCTGAAAGGTTTTTCGAAAAAGTTAGTGATAAACAATTTTTTACTTAAATCATAGTTTAGTTGTGGTTCATCCATTTCATACGACTACCAATACAATACGGTTTTACAAACATTGGCTTGAATTTTGAACTAGTAGTCAAAAAATATAAAACTATACTGGATATTTTATCAAAAAAATTATTAACTTGATATTTTATATTTAAGCATAGTTCATTTTTCCTATCAATAAAACAACTATCAACTTGAACTCCAATAAACAATCTTTCTAGTTAAACAATCAATTCATTTACCATTTTGCAAATGCAGTTGAAGTAACCAACATTTGCCTAAAAAGACAGAAAACAAAGAATTCAATATAGTAATATGTCATAATTTCAAAAAGAGACGATCCATTTCCAATTCCAATATATATCCGTTACATTTATCAATTCAAGATTTCAAATTTCAAATTCTGTATTGTCATCCCTCTCTCTCTCTCCCTCTCTTTCTTCCTCGCTCCACCAGCAAACCGTCCTCGTTTACTTAGCCCTCGTCCTTTTTTTGTCTTGATCTCCTACAAGCACATACACGCCTCTCTGCTTCTCTCTCTCTCTCTCTTCCCCCCAAAAGCTTTCTCTGCTCGATCCTCAACGCTTTGACTCCCAATTCGACAGGAACCCAATCCATTTCCAAGCAATGGGTGCTTCAGGGAAATGGCTCAAATCGCTGATTCCTCTCAAAAAGATCCCTTCTTCCGCCGCCGACCTCGTAAGCTCTAGCTCCGGAAAACAGAGCAATCTCTTAACTCTAATTTTTGAAACGAAATGGATCACTAATTCTTCGTTTTCTTCCGTTGCTTTTTTTTTTTTGTTATCTTCAGGAGAAGCGAGGAGGAGATGGGAAGGGAGGAGGGAAGAAGAAATGGAAGCTGTGGAGAAGCTCATCCGAAGGGTTTAATCATCCCTCGTCATCTGCTTCCTCTGCTTGCTCTTCTTCTTCTCCGTCCGTCGAGGGTTTCAAAAGGGTGGTTCAATCCGATGAGTACAACAACTTTACTTCCTTCTCAAACGACGACTCTTTCACCGTCGCCATGGCCACCGTTGCCAGAGCTCCGGCCAAGGACTTCATTGCGGTCAAGAAAGAATGGGCTGCCATCCGAATCCAAACCGCCTTCAGAGGCTTGCTGGTAAACTCAAAATGTTTTCAGTATTTAGTGCAAAGTTCAGAACTTTGATACTGTTTAGGTGGTCCTTGAGAGTTTAGGGCCTGTTAGGGTTATGTTGAAGTCCTTAACTGGATTTGCATGTTGCAAATTCCGAAATCGCTCCCATCAAGTTACTATTTCAGTACAATGTGTAGACTTTGGTATGATTTCACCTAAACCTTCCAACAGAATTTGACTAATTTGGTTGCATGCTGAGACTTTAGGGCTCTAGTGGAGTATTGGGTTTCCAAAGCAGTGAAATTATTGTGTTCTGGACTATCAAGTTGAAGTCTTTACTGGTTTTTGTGACAACAGTAGGAAAGTGTTCCTAAAAATTCTACTGTTCTCAAAGTTAACATGAATTGTGCTGTTATCCACCTTATATATGTGTGAATTGATAACATCTTTTAGGCAAGGAGGGCATTGAGGGCTTTAAGAGCAGTGGTTAGAATTCAAGCCATATTCCGCGGCAGGCAGGTTCGAAAGCAAGCTGCAGTGACACTAAGGTGTATGCAAGCTCTAGTTCGAGTTCAGGCTCGAGTTAGGGCAACAACTGTGGGAATGTCAGAAGGGCAAGCTGTCCAGCAGATGCTGGATGCTTATAGAAACCATGCTGATCCCACTAAGCAAGCTGAGGTAATTAATCAAGACCATAGATTTTGATTTACCAAACCAAAACAAATGCTCTTGGATCAATTGTCCCCTTCACATTGATATCTTGTTTGTTCCCGAAAATTTGCAGAAAGGTTGGTGTAACAGTCCTGGAACAGTTGATCAAGTCAGAACAAAGTTGCAAATGAGGCTAGAAGGAGCTCTCAAGAGAGAAAGAGCTATTGCATATGCCCTATCCCAACAGGTAGAACATATCAATCAATTGGAAGGATATCATGGTAGTCGAAATCTCTTCTCTGGAGTTGATGATGAAACCTATGCTAAATTGGAATAGTGTACTTCAATAAGTATAAATCTAGCTGTGGTTCGAGTTTACTATTTTGAATTTACATAGGTTTTATACTTCATGCAAAATCTTAGATTGTCATATTTACCAAGTTGAAAGCTTGTAGCTATCTCGTACTTTCTGCTTTTACATAACCCGTCGATTTAAAAGTTTGTTATAAGTTTTTGCTCCATATATGGTTGTTGGGTTGAATGTTTCAATCTTTTCAATGTTAGTTGCAGGCAGTGAAAACATGTCCAAGCCCGGGTAGGAAGACCGGCAGCAATTCTAAGCAGCAGCCAATCGTCCCCCCCAAGCATCATCAAAAGGGGGATGAATACAACCCACTCGGATGGACCTGGCTCGACCGTTGGATGGCAGCAAAGCCATGGGAGGGCAGGTTGATGGAGGAAAGCAGCAGCCACAGCCATGCAAGAGCTGATTCACTAGAGGTCTCTCCTACGCAACCACCACAACCACAACAACCTCTCTTGTCAAGAAAAAGTGCTGACAACATGTACACATCATCAACTTGCTCCTCAAAGCTCAAGCACCATGAGCCTCCTCCTTCCTCGTCGGTAAAGGTGAGGAAGAACAATATGAGCACTCGAGTCTCAGCCAAACCAACACCTCCCATGGTGGTTCATCATCATAATCATGGTACTAATGGCTCATCTTCAACCCTGAGTTCTGAGACACTCTACGAGGAAACCAGCTTCCTGTCAACAAATTCATCTACATCTGTTGATCAAGAACAGCAGAGTTGTAGCGAGAAGCAGCAGCAGCAGCAGCAGCCGCCGAGCTACATGAGCCTCACGGAATCAACCAAGGCGAAACAACTGAAGGCGGCTACTTGGAGTAGGCATTGTAGCAATGCTGCTCTTCAGAGGAACCAGTTGATCGAGGAGGAGGAAGAGGATGATGATGAGTTATACTGCATGAGATCAATGCCACTGTCCAGAGATCTTTACCCTCCCATTCCACAGGGCAAGAAGACATTAGTATGAGATTCGATTCTGTTCAAAGTCAAGGAATTAAGGATGAAGAAGCTGCTTGTTGGTCTGCACTCTGCTGCATGCTAAGTCAAAAGTAGAATGAGTTCAACTTCTTGTTGCGCATGGAAAGGAAACGCTTGTGTTTGAGTAATGTTGATTCTGAAATGGCTGAAAAAAGTGTGAAAAAAAATCATTAAATCACATGTGGGATGGGACAATTATCTAATTTGGTTCTGTATTGTAATGATGTTTTGTGTCTAGTAATGTTATTAGTGAGCTAGTATAATTGTTGCCTACTTCCGTGTGACTAATTCTTGATTAAGCACTAAGCAAGCATTCAGCACCACAATCTTTAAATATTTGTCACTACTCACTACATGGGCCGGATCAGGGCTAGATGGTTAGATATCCTAATCTATGTAATGGGCATCGTAGGGAAGCCTCTTGGAGAATAGATGGATAAAAAGCCCGTCCGACAGCATTGGGCTGCACTTTTAGATTGTTTGTTTTGTCGACGATTAGCTGTGATTGTGGTGGGAATCAGAATCTTGAAGCATATACTTCCCAACTTCCAGTAACTAACATAGATTAACTAAAGAGAAGTTGCAAGAATCCGATCATTTGATTGAAAGTACTTTCATCTTATTATTATGAAGTCTCTGTTCCACAACTGGCTCGAGTCTAAATGTCTTAAGGAAGGTTATTAATTGGTGAATGCCATTGATTCAAGTCAAACAATAATAATATAAGAAATGATGGGGGTACAATATCCAAAACCTCAAAGCCGATAAATATTGTATCTTATCATCTACAGTACAAATTATACAGCCCTGATAGGATCATATCATGTGGTGGCATGATTTGTATCATGGATGGTAAAGACAAAGATTTTACAGTCCCTGAGTTTTGTATTGTAACCCATATCTAATAATACGTCTCTAATAATAGCAAAATTTATTATCTAATTCTTGTGAATTGAGTATGCTAGGGTGGGTCTCCTAGGGAAAACAATAAGTACTTGATAATGGTTGACAGAGAGGATTTGTGTTCGAATTATGATGGCCTGATATAAATCACTTGCCAAGTTTATATTAGTTGACTTTTTTAGGGGTGTGTTAGCAAATGGTCTTTGATCCATTATTGAATCTCTCCCAACAGCTCAAGTTATTGATACTAAACAATTTTTAACAAAGAACACACTATTTGAAAGCGAGCGACTAACTAAATCATGAATAATAATTTGGTACACAAAGAGTAACGTTCTTGAATCTTGATAGTAAACAAACTCATCCGAGCTACACCCTAACACTACTAATGATATGGTTTTCTAGCTAGTCCATGAGGTAGCTAGGGAACATGATGAATGATTATATAGAGAGTGTACAAAGCCATATATTAACATTGAAACATGCTAAGACCAATTAAGTCATGATTATTGTGGTCAGTAATAATAATACGTGAAAACCCATCACCCCCTGGCCCAATTAAGCCATCCTTTTCAATATGGTCCCAATATTCATGATTTTGGTATTATTGGACCACTTTGCAAAGAAAGATAACTATATCTCACCCATCACCCCTTCTTTCATCATCCAATGTTTATGCATGTTTCTAATCAGCTTAATCATTTCATGCCTCGCTAAGCAAGATGATTATTATTATTATTGTTGTTGTTAGAAAGAAAAAGTACGTACTAAAAGATAATTACTACGTACCCAAGAAGTTGTTTTAAGAAGAAATCAACATGCATACTTTCAACATTAACCTTGTAGGTTGGGGGTGTGCAACATTTCGGTTCGTACCGGACCAAATCGGCGCTTGAACCTGATCACACTGAATCGAGTATAATATGGTTCGGTCCTTGGAACCCCCGAAATTTGTAAATATTGAAGAAAAATTGACTGACCAAAGTAGACAGACAGAATGCACTGTTGGTTCGCTTCTTGGTCCATAGAGGTATCTTAATATTAAATCGCGACTCTCCTTAATTTGGTATGGTCCGGACCGGACCATTGCACACTACTAAGTATTATTTTCAACGATAAGCACGTACATTGAGATACGAATCAAACAACCACAACGAGACCTTTCAGTTTTATGCCACATCCAAAGTGTGTTACTAGAAGGAGGATATGTTTACAGTTAAGGTATTGAATACATATCTACAAACAATTTAAGTTATATATTAAGCGAATAACGTTTTTACGTAGTATCAGATGTGCCACACTGCAGGTGAAAATGATCTTTTTTTCTCTTGATAAGCTCTACTTGTTGCAATTACTTGAGACCTAGATTGAAATGTCCTGTGAATTATGAACAAGCTGGATGCAATTCAGGGAAGGAAGGGTCTTGTTTCCATTCGACACAAAACGTCGAATGTGTCAAAAATAGCTATATATAGTCAAATTAATTACTGGTTAACTAAATTCGAGATTAATTTTTGATTACACCCAAGAGTTAGATTTACTAAAACGAAAAATCCATAATAATAAGATGCGATGTCAACATAGCAGAGATGCATAACAATAGTGATCAAGGTAAAAGTGAAAGTTACATCAAAGCTAACAATTTTAACACATCCACAACAAAGGAATTGGCATAAGGAAATTGAATAAGAGGAAGGATTGATGGGGTACAAAACCAGAGATGAATTAATACTATCTCACTTGATCATATTGTCTCGATTTTAGGGGGAAATACCCAATTATTTGAGTAACTAAGTATAATTTTCTAGTGTTATGACACGAGACAATTCTGTTAAGTATCTCATTTGATAAAAATGAGGAAACCCAAATCATCCGTCACATTCCAAACAATTGGATTTCACTTAAAATGGATCAATTTGAAATTCACCATACCAAATTGCTCTACCCAAAATTTTTATTGACAAACGAGTTTATTTGATAAAAATATATCAAAACGAAACAACTGATGAATCAACTTAATCTGTTACGATTCCTCATTCAACAATCAACGGTGCCTGGTTGGTTTTGCAATTGTGAAACAAAAAGGTGAAGATGGAGTTGTGATTGGAATGCTTGTAACGGAAGAATAGAGTATAATGCATATATTGATATTGCTAGGGACCATGAACAAGATTCTTTGGTTTTAAATCGTTGCATGCATGTGCAAACATTTAATGCAGCACCAGAATTCTTTTGCTTCATTTGTTGAGATATCAAAGGACATATACTTTGTTTCTGTTCCTTGGCTTTCCCCAAACTATCACAATGCGTGTGTATATATAAGAAACAAAAGCTCCATCTAGCTTAATTAGTCTTTGCTCTCTGGCCTCTTGGCTTTTTAGTATGGGTCATTTTCAGTCTACAAAATTTTGGAAGGTTTTCTTTCTGTACCTTCACTCCAGATTTTGAAAAATTCTCAGTCCCACTGAGTAATTTTCTAACGGAACGTAAGGCATGAATAATTTTTTGTATCAAAGGAGAAGAATAACTCACGGTTAAAATCAAAGTATCAGTCGTAATTATAGAGTTGAAAATAAATATATGTCATTGTGAAACTTTGTCGCTTCTGTCTACGGTAGGTATTTGATTTCCATTGAACACGTACATGAATGAACTTGATAGTTCGTATATAGCTAGCTAAAATAAGTAAATTAGTCGTTTTAGTAATAATGGATATTATTAGTTATTACTTATTACCATACAAGTCAAAATCTTAAGAACCTAGGAGAAATCGAACCATGCATGAATATGTTAGGTTAGGTAAAACCACCCTATTAATGTATATATGTTGCTATTCGAGGTTGTTATTTGAGTACTTCAAGTATACCATACTTAAAAGGAACAAGAGAGTTAAATTGACTAATTGAGAAAGAAACTTAAACCCTAGCTAGCTAATGATTCTTTATTTCTCAAATTGATAAGAGAAGAACCCGAATCACTAATTGGACTTGCTTTGCTATTAGTGTTATAATTTCGACTCCCATCGAGATGTTGAAAACAATGTGATGTGGAAAAGTTTAAGGCTGATTGAGACGGCTCATAAACTTTTGGATTTGCAATGAGATTATCAATAACGTCGTATGATATGTTTGTGTAATATTTTGATTACAATATATAATATATCGTTAGAATAAACTGATTGTTGATAAAATAATATATTGAGATCAACGGTTAATATTAAAAAATTAACTTAAAACTTTCATCTAATACAATTAGATTATTCGAAAACATATAAAACTGAACATGACAACATGTTTATATTGAATCCCTTTCTTGCCTTCAAAGAAAGCTCTCACAAATTCAACCAAAAAAGAGAAGTGAAAAAAAAAAAAAAACTCACTCACTTCTTTTGGTACCAAAATGTAATGGTCACTGACACTAATCACTATACTTCGATATTTATGACAGATGGATCAATAAACTTTAAAACGTGACGAAATAAGTCATCACAGTTTTCGTTAATTTGTTCAATCATAAATTAAATTTAGTTGGACCGCCTCAAGTCAGCGAACATGCCATGTTGACACATCAGTTATCAGTATCACTCCATTAACCATTACTCAACTCTAACCGTTATAATATCAATAATACATCAAGAGACAGTTATTACGATTTAAAGTTTAGGGACAAATTTAGACCCAATAGAAAGTAAGTATACACAATAACTATTGTACATTGTAATTTTGTGTATAAACATTAAACAGGTCTGGTTGGCAACTTTCTTTTTTTTGGTATCCAGATTGTGTTCTCGCGGTTGACAACATATATAATGATTTTGGTCACATGTGGGATTAAGACCAGCAGTCTATTTTGCTGCTGTCATCACCGTATATATACTGTTTACGAACAAGGAAGCATTGAGCTTGTAATTTTGTTGGATTTTGTCGTTGGTATACTTTCGTTTGTACTCTATATTATATAATACACACATTATGAGCTAGAGGTGATAAAAAAAAGTCAACTCTAACGAATTGAAGATACTGTCTACAAACTGAGCTTGTTTAAAAAATACTTTCCCTATATGGTTCCCAAAAATTGACCCATCATCCGTTTCATTATCAGCCAGCCGATCATGATATATATACACACGGTAATTAAAAGTTGTTCCGGGTGTTCTAGCCGTTGTATGTATTCCATTCCGCTAAAGTTCGACTAATCAGATTCACCAATTATATTGTTTTTCATTAAATTAATTTGGAGGTTTGGATTTAAATAATTAGGATTTGGGATTTACACATTAGAAGTAAGTAAGGGTAGAAAACAGTCCAGTTCGATCAAACATGACATGATTGATCTGGTTAACAGGGTCGAAATCGCACCACAACCATAATCGGAGACGAGGTTGGATTGTAACCGGTTTTGACCAAGACCAGATTGGAAGCAACACAATTTGGTCCAGTTTTAACCTAGAAACTGTATTGACAGCAAAACCACTAAATGACATGACTAGCAGATTGACGGCTCAGATCGAAGAGTTAGAGTTGGCAGGCGACACTAGTCGACGG